CTTCATTGAGGCTGGTTAGGATATCCTATCTTAAAAAGTTCAGTATAATGCTTTCCTTATTTATAAATATTTATACTTCCAAATTTGAAAATCAAGCATAAATCATTCTATTTTACCAGCCAGTCCGTTAAAATAACCCTAAAAGGGCATTCAAGTACTTGTTTACAGATTAACTATGGATAGAGGAAAAAACTTACTAGGAATCACAAGCCAGCTAAACATCTACTAGAGGTGTCCAATTTCTTGGCATTGTGACTGTCACCAACAAAGTTTATACTCAAGAACCACACAACCAGAAGTTTATGCTTTTTGTGTTGTGACAATTATTTAGTTATTCACAGGTGGGTTAAACATGCCTAACATGATCTTCTGTCTCAAATTACTGATTATCTTGACAAGAACATACTGGGTCCAAATGACACCCTTCTGATAAAACCCAAAGCATATTATATTTACAATCTTTCATATGCCTTTGCTTTTTGAGACAGGGTCTCCTTTGCAGTCCAGGCTGGTCCTGAACTTAAGATCCTCTCTCAGCTTCCTGAGTGCTGGGATTACAGGCTGCACTCCCAGCTATAGTCATAACTTTACCAGCAAAAGATGTAGACAATGAACCTATTTCTCCCGATTATAAGTTAAACATCTAAAAGAACTTGGAACAAATTCAGTTGGAAACTAGAGTGTAACTAAGTAAAACAAAGAGAAGAAATCATTATGCGTAGAGAAATCTTAAAAAATAACCAAAAAAACCACAACAAAAAAACCCTTCTGGCTTAGCCTGCTCTGTGGCAGAGCATTTGCTTAGCACATTTGAGGCCCTGGGTTCAGTCCCTAGGGACTGAAACAAATTGCTCTAAGTAGAATCAAGAGATACCAATGAGGTGAAGATGAGAAAAAGCAACCAATCTCATTTCTTCCTCAGTAATTCTGAGCACTGGTGTAAAATCTACAAAATAGCACCAAGAATTCATTTTAAGATCATCAGAGAAGGAACATCCTGGACCTCAGCTAGTTTATACTCAAGCAATACTCACTGGGCTCTGCCTGGTGTGCTTCCTAATACTCCTGATGGATTAGTGCTACATATACTTTACTCAAATATATATCCTACAGGGGCTGGAGAGATGATTCAGCGGTTAAGAGGACTGGTTGCTCTTGCAGAGGACCCGGGTTCAATTCCCAGCACCCACATGGTGGCTATGAACCATCCTTAACTCCAGTTCCAGGGGAATCCAAAGCCCTCTTCTGACCTCCGCGGCATTGCACGACACGGGTGCACTCAGATACATGCAGACAATATACTCGTACACATAAAATAAAAATAATAAAAAATATATATCCTATAAACAAAAGTGGTTTCTTTCCTACTCTTCTTTCTTGTATTTTGCTAAAGGTAAAGTTCTGACAGCAGAGATCCTAGTCCAATGTTTAATATGTCACCTAGCAGAGTCTTGGTCCTTCCTCCCTAGATGTTCACATAGTCACAGAATAGCCAATGTTTCTGAGCTAGACTTTCCAGAGAAAATGTCCACGCAGGGAAGTTTCATCAGTTAAGTTGGAGATTTAGGTTTATTCTATGAGAAAAAAAGAATCAACTTGATACAATGCCAATTTCTGAAGGTTCAATTTCTGAAGTGAACTAGAGGACTTACTTGGTTTGGGTAATTGCCAACAGTGATCTTCCTTAGTTGTGGTACAATATACATATAGATCCTTACAACTCCAAGAGCTCCTGGCTACACTACCTGAAGTCATGTAAGTTGGGAACCAGTTTTACCATGTGCGTTACAACATGGCACTCAATGTGGTTCCATGAAAACTGCCTTTACAATTCTGTGTCAGGAAAACCTATCTTCCATTATTTCTTATATCTGCTAAGGAGTAAGACTGTGCTTCCTTATCTAACCCATTATCTTCTTCTGGCCGCTGGGATGTTTATACAGACTTGTGATACTCAACCTCAGCAATTATCTTAGCTTCCAAGGTTAATAGCATTTTCCCCATTATTTCTATAGTTTTGTTTTCCTCATTATATTGGATTTATGCCCTATTATAAGCTACCTCAAATGCTCACTGAAAAGAGAGAATGGGGCTGGTCAGATGCTCAGCAAGCAAAGGTATTTGCTGACAAGCCCGACAACCTGAGTTCAATCCTTGGAAACTACAAAGTGGAAGGAGAGAACTGACACCTACAAACGGTCCCAACCTTCACGTGCTATGGCATGTGTGGCCCTACTTCCCCATAAATAAATGCAACAACATTTTTTTTTAAAGAGAGAAACAGACTTTAAAAAATTACTTTTGCTATCTTAACTCCCAAAATGTCCCTGTCTTCATTTGTTCCAAACAATAGGCACATATTTGGCAGATGAGTAAACTGAGGCACATACCTTATTTACTTTAGAGAGTACCTGTTTGTGATAGTTGGCTTCTTGACAGCCAGATATTTCAAGACGTGAATCAAACCCAACAAGCCTTGTTATATGCATAGGACTGGGACACAATACTTAGTACAATTATAGTTGAAGACTTCAGATAGCTATGCTCTTAATTGAAGGGCATTTGCTGTACACTCAAACAAACAGTGAATAAAAGTTGACCAAAAAGTTATACTAGGATCTGAGCTAACAGGCATTCAAGTCACCCTGAAGTAACCCATACCCTCTGGCACCAGGAATGTTCTCAATTCTGAAAGGACCTCAGGAATGGGAATGGTCCAAGGGATTACTTGGTCTAGAGCCAGGTTAGGATCCTCATGGGTGAAGGACCACATCATTTGAAGAGGCCTTTTTCTCACTGTTCAGTACCATACCATGTTCCTCTTTTCCCCTTTTACCTTTCCCACACTTTCTCACACTATCAACACATGGCAGAGGTACAAAAGTGACCTAAGTTATAATGTCTAATTCTGAAGAGACAAAAACTCCACAAAACAAGAGATTACCTAGAACTTATTACTCTATGAACTTGATTAGTCCTCAACTGGTCCATAAACTAAATAAATGCCTTTTATCATTAAGGGAAGGGTAATTAGTCATCATAAAGCACTTTAACACAATCGCTATATAAATGCCACCCAATAAAGCTCAAAGAACAAAATTAACAATATGGGGACACAGTCACTAGCAAATGGAAACTTAGAACAGGGTCTTCCCACATGTCTTGGCAGAGACCTGCTTATTTCAGCTAATGGAATGAGTCTCTAAAAGTCATTAGCACTTGGCCTTGCAGTAATCCACATTAGTGATATTCCTCCTGGGGCGAAGGGCTAAAGGGGTATTTATTGCTGTCAGCATTCTGAATCTCAGTTACTGGTTAGCCAGATGGACAATTAATATTTGAGTATCTACTATATGCAAAGTACAGAGGTAGGAACAGAAGATAAAATGGCAAACAAGAGTCCCTGCCTTTCTGGAAGTTTACAATCTATAATATATATTTTGGCTTATTAGTATTGGCTTATGAGAATACAGTTTTACTGAAATAAAGGTAAGTAATAATAAAGTTACCTCATACTTTCAAGCACCTAGACAAGATGATGGGTTTGTAGTAAAAGGAGTCGGGAATTAGTTTTATTCTTTTGCCTAACTCATCTGATATACTACATTTAACCATTCTGCTTGTAAGGACTATAACTGCTTCTCCATAGAATAGTGATTTCAAAAGGTCTCTTCTTCAACAAAGCAGTCAGATGAACGGAGAGCACTAGAAGTTAAGGCCAGATAGACCCTTTAGGATCTCTCTTAACCTTTTAAAGGTATTGTTGGTAAAATAATCTCAATTTTGTGAGAATACAGAGCTACAGCACACAACGGTAACATCTCTTTTCATTTCTGGAACTGTTGATTAGTTTCCTGAGAAAAAGAAAAGCCATCTCTCTCTCATAGGACAGCTTCACTAGTTCAGGTGTAGCAGCCCCAGGGGTTAACTATTCCTGCAAACCTTACTCTGCTGAGCTTATTCCATCCCTGAATCCCACCAAACACTGTAGGCAAGGATAGCTTTGAAATGTCTTTATATAAGAGGGGAATATTTGTCCTGGTTCTCATTGATTTCAGAAAGGTCACCTCTTTGCAAATGTTCTCCGATCTACTGTTAGCTAGGTGCCAGGTAAGTGGAATCAAAGTGTGTTTCACAGAAAGCAGTGGGGATAACCAATTCCACCACTCAAGAGAGCTACTTAGACTAAAGCTGCCATAGACTGCCTTTTTCAAGAGCATTAGAAGGATGTCCTTTGAGCTCAACCCACAGCACAATGGGTTGAACTTGTTCTGCCTCAGTAAGTGCAGTAAAGAATGAGCAATCGTTTCTCATCACCCACCTCTCCAACCCACCCAAGCTCCTTTCTGGAGGGATGTCTAAGTGCTCTATTCACATGACTCTGGGATCAACCTGCATTATATGACAGTGTCTGCTGTCACCACCTCCAAAGATCTCTCTCCTGCGTATTTCCAAGCAACTGGAAGACTGTAGGATGTGAAAACCATAGTTTGCGTTTCATTCTCCTGGTGCTTTTATTGCCTTCTGCTGCATAAACGAGCTAGTTCCACACCACATTCTTTTCTCTTGTCTCTAAGCTATCACGCAGTTGTTGGATAAACCGCCACTGAAGAAGCGCTGCCAGATTTCCCCACTCACCTGGGGGGAATTTTCTGTACACCCTCATCCCCTGGCCAGGTCACAAGGGACTGCCAAGTCGTTCACCCCCTCCCACTCTCGTCTTCAAGGCCCTCCATCCAGGAAAAGTCAGCAGCAAATTTAAGGCCTGGCCCTGTCGGATTTCAAAAAGATCCAGGACTCGGGCCCAGGGACAAAGAAGCGAGATCAGGAGCGGCCTCTTCCGCCCGGGATAGGTCTGGGGCGCTCACCCAGTACCCCTACCTCGTGTCAGGGGTCCCTGATCACCCCAAACCCTAGCCCCAAGTCGCGATCTACCCGGGCCCGGGGCTCGCTCGCGCCCCTTCCTCGAGGGCCCCCGACGCCCCCCGGAGTCCCCGCACCTTCTTGGGCGCCTTGGTGACCGTGGCCATGAAGGAGTACTTCTCGGCGTCCTCAATCTCCTTGGCCTGTTTCAGCTCCTCCCCGACACCCGGCAGCGGCATCGCGTCAGGCATCGACATCCCCGGGCCGGCCCGGCCCGCGGCTAACCAGCCACCCCCGCCTCTTTCCCTCACTAGCGCCCGCCCGTCCGCGCGGCGCCGTCCACCACGCTCTCGCCTGCCCTCCCGCCAGGCCCCGCGCCTAGCTGTGTGGGCTTCTGAAGGGCTCCGAGCCTCGCGCCTCGTGGGCTCCGTAAGCCCTAGACTGCCGAGCAGCTACGACCGCCGCAGAAGCACCAGAAGCAGCAGCGCGCAACTCCGACCTGCCCGCGCAGCCACCTCCGCTACACAGAGACACGCACGCAGAGTAAGGGTAAGAGGGCGGTGACGCCACGTCAAGTACTGGCAGCCCGAGGAAGGTGGGGAAAGAGGCGGGGAGAAATGGCGCACTCTGGTGACGTCACCACGCTGGGCCGGGCCGCAGGAGCCGCCCCTCCTCCTTTCCTGCTCCGGGGTGAGAGGTTCTCTGGGTGAGTCGTACCCTTTGCACCGGCAGGTGGTGCCATCTACCCTGTGAGAGCCGCACGTGGTTCCTGCAAGGATGCGGGGGAACTGAGGGTCTTTACAGAATTCGCGGCCAGGCCTTGGGGTGGGGAGAGCATAAAGGGGGTGCTTGGGAACAAAGGTCAGAGTCCCGCAGGGTACGTCCAACAACCATTCCTAGGAAAAATCCCGGGCCTGAGACAGCCCGCACACTCACTGCCCACACCCCGGGCCCTTTGAACTAGACGCCCATTCCCAAAGGACAGTGTTTGCTTTTTGAATTCATAGGGGGCAGAACAAACTGAGAGCGGTGTGGTTTCTACACAACCTTTTGTGACCTCCTCCATCACCATTTCCTCCTGGCCTTCTGCCTGTTTACAAGACCGCAGTGCTGATGTGAAGGGATCATTAGGCTAGGGCTCAGAGGGTAGAGAACCAGAGGCAGAATGAGAAAACCCGACAAATTGGCCTTCATTTTCTGTGTTCTCTCCCTAGGCGTTAGCCTCGCTCTGCCAGCTTCTAGTGAGCCTCCAGGGCGTTCCTGGATGGCTCGCACACTTCCTAGGATCTTACTATGTGCAGTCCCAGTGCTAAGGTCCTGGATGGCAATGGTGCATGTAGTACATTTATGTTTTGCAAGACAGTTCATTTGGAGAGGCAAAGCCTGTTTGTAACCTGGTGTCAGCTGAGGTAGCTTGTCCTTTGAGAGTCATTCAAATGACATTGGCTCCAGTTCTCATGTCCTGTGGAAAGTCCAATGTTGTCCCCAGGATATCTGTGAATTACTGGGGCATGGTGATGGTGGTAGAGGGGGGACCTTAGGTTTTCTTGGTCATCCCAGGCCTAGTTTTCTGCCTCATCTGGAATTTTAGTCACTGCTCTTATGACTGTTTCTTTAGCTCTTACTGTCATATCAACCCCCTTTCCTTTCTACCACCACCCCCAAACCACAAAAATGAGGCTATAGCATGTAGGAGAAATTTTAATGAAGGTTTGTAGGGCACAGGGGAGAGGTTACATCATAGCAAACAATTTAAAATCACATTTCTGAAATGTTCTGAAAAGTTATTTTGGCCACCTCACCACCTTGAGATTTCTCAATGGCCACAACATCCCACAAAGCTCTCTAGCCCGTTACCCATCTCATTTCCTTTGATTAATCCCTTTTCATTCTTTACCCTTCCCTCTTCAAGGATTCTAATAAGTCAGATTCTTCTTACTGTGCTGAAAGTCCTCTTAAATACCTTTACCCTAAATTCTTCACCAAGTCCACACTTTTATATCCAGGACCCCACCAGGTCACAGTTTCTTTGCTTGTGACAGGGTTTCATTATGTAGCCTAGGCTAGCCTTAAACTCTTCAGTATGGGCCACCATACCTGACTTCACTAGATTTTTAATAGTCAACCCTAACAAGAAAAAAGTTGTGACCTGAAATGGCATTACCTCCAGAATCAGCCTCCCACCGCACTCCCACACTGGCTTATGTTCAAGTTTGGGGAAGGTGTGAAATAGTCACTTCTGGCACCACTGAAGTCTTAATCTGATAGACTTGTCCTAAACACCAGATTCATAAGCCTCATGCGTATTTGAAGAGGGCTGTGGAAATGTCTGGAAGGATTCTATTAAACTTGTAGGATTCTCATCTGCCCATTGTTTTGAGTGTTCAGACTTTCCTCTGAGCCAAAGCAGCAGAGAGATGAAAGTTAGAACACCAGATTCATCCACACAGGCCCCAGACGGCCCCCTTTTCCTCATCTTATAGCTGAAGGCTGAAAACCACATCTGGCCCACTCTGGAACTTTGGTCTTTGTGAGTTGTTAGAATCTATGAATTGGGGCTACCTTCTGAAACATCAAAAGTCTTTTGGAATCACATCTGAAACTAAGTCCTTTGAATAGAAAAATAAGCGTTTTGAGACAAGTTATTTTTAACAAGTACAAGTGTATCTGTCTTTTGGATTTGATTTTTAAGCTTCCATTGTTTGTCCTTTCTCTGTGACTTTTAGCCTCCAGGCTGTGAGCTTCCTGGAGATTGCAGTAAACTTCTCATATTCCTCCAGGGCCAAAAGACAGAGGATTGCCCTAGCTCCAGGGCTACAGTTAGTGCTGGTGTGGGTGATGGACCTAGAGGACAGGGCCAGAGCTAAAGGGAGCAGAACTTTATTGAGTAGTTAGGCCAAGATAGAGTTTATCAGGTGATTTCACTTACCTGAGTGTCTGGCTAGAAGAGAGGCTGATGACTTGGCCTTGGGGGTACTGTACAGGATGCTTAGTCTACAGGTAGAAGGTGTACCCCTGCCATGCTGGAGAGGCTGTTGACCTTTGTGATTCATGTCAGACTAAGGTCTGGGTGTTTCTGGAAACCAGCCACTGTAGAAGGCAGTGGTGGCTGCCATCCCCTCTAGGTATAGGCTAGATAACAAAGTTCCAGCCAGGGAATGTGACAATGTAACATCCATGAGAGCCATTGCATGCTGCCCACTTCGTGCTTAATCCTAACAGCCTCATATGGTCTAGCTGAAGATACTGGCACTCACAAATGCCAAGAAATGATTTGTGTTTCTCTGCCTCCTCACCTGATGTTGCCTCTTCTAGTAAGCAAATTCACTCTCTGAACAGCATTCACATAGACTAGAGAACCATTCAGGGACCAGTGTTTGAGAAGAGCAGGGACTCAAGGACAATACTACCTGGTGTGTGTGGTAGTGGTATGTCTCCAAAGGGTCTGGAGATCAGAGGGGACTCTGCTCTAAAAAGGAGTGGTCACAGGACAAAGGTGATTCAGAAGATGCATTTACCAGAAGTGCTCTGGCACTGGGGTTCCACACATAAGGTTTGGTATGGTTAACCAGATACACTTTGTCTACCCCCAAATTTATCCTGTATATACATTCATTTATTCATAAAATACATAGTCACTGCAATAATAATGCTGTTTCAGTCAGTGGCAGACACTACAACTGTGGTTCCATAGGATTATTATGGAGCCAGGTATGGTTGCATAGACCTGTAATCCAAGCACTTGGGAGGCTGAGGCAGGAGGACTACCATGAGTTCAAGGCCAGTCTAGGTTACATAGTAAGACCTTGTCTTAAAATCAGTAGTAACAACAACAAAACCAAAAACAAAAATATTACAATGGTATTGAAACGGTCCCATCATCTCGTGACACAGCAGCCATTGTAGTGTTTTAAGGCTACACACTGCTCACATGTTGATGGTGGTACTGATGTAAGCATGGTGTTTTGCTGTGTAGGTGCTAAAATACTTACCATTGTACTATAGCCACTTGCAGTATTCATCACAGTGCCGTTCAGGTTTGTAGCCAGATGCAATGGCTGTACTATGTAGCTTGGGTCTGTAATGGCCTGTACCACCTAGATTCATTAAAGTGTACTGTAATGGTATTCACATAATGCTGAAACTGCCCAATGATGTAGTTCTTGGATTGTATCACTATTGTGATGTGTGATTGTATTGAGTGCTGAAGATGTACCAAGAATAGTGCTGGATTTTGGACTTATAAGATTGACACTGGCATCTGGCTGAGTACAGGTGCGATGGAGCTGAGGAGATGAACAGGAGGGGCATCACAGAGAGAGATGCGCATCTCTCTCTGTGACACCCCTCCTGTTCATCTGGGTTAGGAACAGAATCTAGGCTGAAGCCACAGCCTTAGAAAAGGCTGGGCAGTGGAGACAACTTGGCCTGCCATGGGAACTGTCACTATTTCAGTGTAGAGCTCAAGGTACCATGTAGCACAGAGCAAGGACTGAGGCTGGAGGCAGATCCTATAGGGCCTGATAACACTCACCATTTGGGGGCATGTGGGAGGAGAAACAGGCCTTCATGGAAAAGCTGTTGAGATATAGGATCAGCTTGAAACATACTGAATTTAATGTATCTATGGAGGCCACTGCTCCCGAGCCTTAGGGAAGCTTAGTTTGTGCCTTTGATGCCCTTGTCCTCCTGGTTAGCCTGACACCCCACCCAAGAAAAACTATGCTTGTTGTAAGCTTTTCACTTCCTGCCAGCCATGCCTCAGGGTAAGTGCACAAAAATTGCAGTGAAGAAATATGAAGGTAGGTGATCAGAGCAGAACTGCCTTCAGCGCTCCAGGATGGGCAAACCCTCCTGGCCCCATCTTCTTTCTGCCCTGAAGAAAGCTGTGTTGTGCAGCTCTGAGAGGTGCCATTGACATGGTCATTGACATGAAGGGGCCTATTGGTTGGAGCAGCACGCCAGATCACCAGAGGCTGGGCCATCTTAGCATCTTGACTTCTGCTTCCCATTGTGCTCTCTGACCTCGCACTCCTAGCCTCTGCTCCTTCCCTTTCTGCACCTCCACCAGGAAATCACTCCTCCTTCACATCTCCCTCTTTGCTTATTATATTTGTCATATGCATTAAGGAATTAAATGTTGCTACTTATTATTTGGGCATTATAGAAAAAAACTGTAAAGAGAAAATTCTCCTTCCATTCATCTTTCTCTGTTCCCTTCTGCTTTTTTTTTTTTTTTTGTCTTTTTGAGACAGGGTCTCCCTGTAGCTCCAGCTGTCCTGGAACTCACTATGTAGATAGACCAGGCTGGCCTTGAACTCACTAAGATCTGCCTGCCTCTGCCTCCCAAGTGCTGGGATTAAAGGGGTGTGCCACTGTACCCAGCGCCCTTCTGCTTCTTAACTTGTAGAAGTTCATTTGTACACACCTGTGATCTGTAGGTACCTGCCATTTGGGGTTCCATTCACTCTGTTTGAATTACAATATTTCAAAAGCATGTTACCATGCACAGAGATGGTTTACACATGGCATTGTCTGTGTTGCCAGAGCATTTCTTCATTTGCTTTATGAGTTTATTTACCTCCTTTTTTCCTGTTGTTGAGCATTTTGAGTCATTTCCAACTCAGTAC